CACCAAGAAGGAGTGAAGAGCGGAGGCTGCTGGGCTCAGAGGAAAGCAGTAGGGGTGGGCATACCTCTGAAGGCTCCAGACACACAGCAGCACAGCTTCACTCCTGGAGCTCTGTCTCCTACTCAGGAGAGAGGGGAATGAACACAATGACCCTTGGCAAGATTTGAGATAGGGATAAGGATTCTGCTGCAGAGCTCAAGAGCTAGGATCCCACTGGTACCTCCAGAGCTTCACTGCTAAGCCGGCCTGAGCCCCAGGCAGGGGAGGGCCAAGCCTGATTGGCATCGGGAATAGGGTAATTACCAAGTGGTTGCTGTTGTCATCACTGTCTCCCTTTGATCTTTCCTGCCTGTCCTGGTTCCCCCGCTCCTAGCCAGGCCTGTGCTGTGGACTGGACATCCCCACTGCCTTGCCTGCTCATCCTCACTTAGATCCCTCTGCCCCTGGGCTAGGAGCCAGGTTCCTGTGCTGTATTGTCATTGACTCTTAGGCTGACCTTGGAAGTGCTTCCGTTTCTTATGGCCCAAAGTCCTCGTTTGTTAAGAAGGCAGCAGGAAAAGCACATTTATTGAGCTTCTGTTGTGTGTCCAGCATTTTCATATTTAATTCCCTGTAACTCTAAGATGTGGCTATTATTATCTCCATTTAGCAGATGATGAAGCTGAGGCTCCCAGAGGTGAAGTGACTTACCCAAAGCCCTGAATCTAGGAAGTTTGGGTTTGAACCCAGTTCTATCTGGCTTCAGAGCTGCAGTGCTAGGTTCTATACCTCCTGCCTCCAGGCCCTACCTAGGAGAACCTCACAGCAGATACATGCAATGGGATGAAGGGCAGCTGTGGCTTTGGGAATGCTGGTGGGGGGTGGTGAGGGAGAGGTTCAGGGGCACTTATATGGGAGCACAAGTCCCAGTCATCAACTGAGCAGAAAACTTGGTTTCAGTTTGCATGGGTAGAAGTAAGAGAAGCTGAGTATAAGATGTCACACCGGATCTGTGTAGCTTCACAAGCCAACTGAGGCAGGTATGGCAAAGGCATTGGCTTGCAGCTCTCTCCTTCAAAAGGGAGCCATAGTTGAGTGCTGGTGGCTCATGCTTGTAATCCTAGCTACTCTAGGATCTCTAAGTCAGAGATAAAGAGGATCACAGTTCAAAGTAAGCCCCGGGCAAATAGTTTGTGGACCCTATCTCAAAAATTACCTAACACATAAAGGGCTGGTGGAGTGGCTCAAGTAGTAGAGCACCTGTCTAGCAAGCATGAAGTGCTGAGTTCAAACCCCAGTACCAACAGAAAAAAAAAAGAGGGGAGCTGCCCCCCCAACCTCCTGCACAGTCCTTGGGCCAGATCAAGGACTGGAGCCAGTGTGGAGAGCATGGGAAATACGAAAACAGGGATCTGGGCTCTGCCTTTTTTTTGGTGCTTCTGACTCCTGTTCTCTCTGGGTGTCAACACAAATTGGGGCTTTGACTAGCATGTTGATCCACAGACATCTTATGAGAATCTGATGATAAACACTGTCCACAGAAACACACACATAGACTTTCAGACAACCAGAGGTTCAAGACTGTGAACTCTCCCTGTGCCCAAGAACTGTGGGCTAGATATTGCCAAAAGCCTGTCCTGGCCAGATGTTGTTACAGGTTCTGGCCTCCTGATTTTTAGTCCTATACTTTTCCTGGGAACCTGGTCTAGGCTGGATGTGGGCAGTGCCCCAGGCAGGACTGAGGTCTCCTCCATCCCCCAGGTGGTGGCTATAGTGATGGATGTATTCACTGATATGGAGCTCCTGTGTGATCTCATGGAGGCCTCGAGCAGGCGTGGTGTCCCTGTCTACCTCCTCCTAGCCCAGGAGCACCTGAAGCACTTCCTGGAGATGTGCTACAAGATGGGCCTCAATGGGGGCCACCTGCCGGTCAGTATGGGTTAAGGGCAACAACCAGGTGGGGGCAGGGACTCAGGAAGGCTGAAGAGCCACTGGTGTGTGACCGTGGGGAGAATCAGTGGGAGTGGTGAATGGGGTTTCCTTAACTGTTTTGAGGTCAGAGACTGCTTGGGGCATAGACATAGCTTGAGCTCCACTCTCTTAAGGTCACTCCCAACTTCCTTCCACCTTTGGTTCAGAACATGCGTGTGAGGAGCACATGTGGGGACACATACTGCAGCAAGGCAGGCCGCCGCTTCACTGGACAGGCTCTGGAGAAATTCATCATTGTTGACTGTGAGCAGGTGGTGGCAGGCAGCTACAGGTGAGCGAGTGAAGGGGAGAGGGCCTGGGAGGGCCTGGGGCTGTGCCATGGGCTCTCGAGTGTGCCTTGGGTGTGGAGGCTTTGAAATTTCCTCCATCTATCCCTTTAAGCATGTACTGAGCACCTGCTGTGTGCTAGGCACCTTGCAGGGCTCAGTCTAGTGTGGGAGCAAGTTGACCATGAAGGAGACATTGGAAAGATTCCTTTAAGTGCCCTTGGCAAGGAAGTAACTATTGCACATGGAAAATGGAGGAACTTTGGTCCCTAGTCCACTTTACAGATGGGAAAGTTGAGTCTTCTAGGTAGGACTGGGTTGATCAGACTCTGGGGTTGGAGCTCTGCCCTCTCACTGTGAGCCCTTATGGCTCACCCCTTATGGGGTGGGGTCTTGATCCATTTCTGGAGATGCTCCCATTATGACTCCTGCTGAGCTGCAGGCCTTGCCCTTTGACTCGTGACCCCCACCTTCTGCCCCAGTTTCACCTGGCTTTGTAGTCAGGCCCACACCAGCATGGTGCTGCAGCTGAGGGGCTACATCGTGGAAGACTTTGACCGGGAGTTTCGCTGTCTGTATGCTGAGTCACAGCCCGTGGAAGGCTTCTGTGGTAGTGAGGATCCATTGTCTCCCAGGGCACCACATCTTGCCCCAGTGGACTTGACATTGGGGCCTGGCATCCCAGACCCCATGTGTTCTTCACCCTCCAGTACCAGCCTCAGCAGCATCAAGCGCTCACCTGTCATGGGTCGTTCCTCCTACCTCACGCTACCAGGAGACAGTGGTTGCAGTGACAAGGGTATGGAGTCTTCATCCTCACGCCCTTCTTGCCGTGAAGCTGGTGGCCAGCCTTCCCTGCATCGCCAGCTGTCAGACCCTAACCGTGGCTCCCCTCCTGGGCCTTACCGGGCCAACCTGGGCAAGCTGGGAGCATCCCCATGGTCCCAGTCCTCCCCTGCCCTCAACTGCAGTAGTGCCAATCCTTCGACCCTGGCAGTGGGGTCATCTCTACTCCCCTGCCCTCGCCCCCTCTTCCACTTCTCCCGGGGGATCCCAGCTCTGTCCCGGCTCCCAGAGAATGGGCTCTTGGGAAGCCAGGAACCCAGCCCCTCACGAGGTCGCTGGGCACCTGGCATATCCCTGGAGATAGTGGATGAGAAGAAGGCATCCCTGAGTCAGAGCCATGGTCAGTTGGACCTCCTTGTCCCCTTCCCTAGAGCCCAAGAAGTAGGAGGCCCTGACTCTGGGGTTACCCCTAACTCAGGTTCTCTTCGGCCTAGTGAGCAGGCCCCAGACAGTAGGCGGTTGTCCTTGAGCCAGAGCTACAGCCAGCTGGATCTCCTGTCCCGGGGCCAGGGTGCTGGGGGTACCCCTGAGTCAGCTTCCCTTAGACCTGCTGATTTGGGCCCAGAGGATAGGAAGCTGCCCCCAAACCACAGTCATGGCCAATTGGACATCCTGGCACAGTACTCCAAGGCCCAGGGCTCCAAAATGCCCTCCAAAGCCAATTCCTCAGCCAGGCCTGGAAAACAGAGTTTACATGGGCGATGGCAGGCCCTGGGCCACAGTCAGCTGGACCTCATCACCAAGTTTGGCCCATTCCGGAATGAAGGGCCTGGGCCCAATGTTCTCCCAGGACCAAGTCCTGCTCACATGGGTGAAGTGAGTTCTGGGGATGAGAAGCGGCTCATTCTGCACCACAGCAAGTTGGACCTCCTTACCAAGTATCATCAGCTGCAGGGTCTCAGGCCGGGACCTGAACCTGGCCTCCCCTGTGGCCATCACAATGGTAGTAACAATGACCTGTTTGCACCTGAGAAACGGCTGACTCTGGGCCACAGCAAATTGGACCTTATCACTAAGAACAATAAGTCCAAGTTCAAGCTGCTCCGAAGTCGCTTTGAGTCCTAGTCCTGCTCCTGTCAGGGACAGATCCTTCTTCCATTCACTGAGACTTGATTTGCTCAGGTCCCACATCTTGGGGTGGGAGTGTGAAGCTGGAACAGTGTATGGAGGGGAAGTCATCTAGAAGCCCAGATCAGATACTCCCTGGTCTCAAAATTCACACACACACACACACACACACACACACACACACACGAGGAAATGGAACTCATAATTATTTAATGCCACTGTGCTAGGCACTTCACACCAGTTATTTTTCTCATCCTTCATCCTCCCAACATCCTACAAGCTGGACCTCTTATTAGTACATAGTTATAGGATAATAGGTATTATTATCATGTGTTACCCCCCTTTTTTCTCAGGTCCCACATCAAGGAATATCCTCTGTTTTTATAAATGTAGGAATTGAGGCTCAGAAAGTCTGGATAGTTTATTTGGAGGCAGGTCCAAGGAAATGGCAGAGTAAGGACCTCTGCCAGACCTGTGACCTCTGACTCTAAAGATTGTTTTTTGCAGAGACATGACACACAACATCAGCAATTCATGTTTTCCTATGCACACGAAATGCAAACTCTACAGAGATATCCAAGTGTCCATACAATATACACAGCACGCTGACAGGGTATATATCCACCAACTGCATACCCATAGATGCATACAGTAAGACATATAGATCCATGTGATTAACTCAAACACTTAGAACTTCAGTGGCAGTACTCAATAAATGTCATCTGACTAAATGAATAGCTACACAAAATCCATGTGTTCAGTTCACATTCTAGACTCCCTCAGGATTCTAAACCATAAATATGCACATGACCCAAAATATGCACACACCAACTAGCATCTGCTTGCACTTAAGCTGTGTTCCTAGCCCTGCCCTGGACATGCTATAGAACTGACAGATAAATCAGACTCAAATCCTCGGGCATAAACCACTGGAGAGAAAGGGCTGTATCAAAGGGAAGGCCAACCAGGCACAGAGGGTGGACAGGTCATAGAGACAGTGGAGTGGTCAGCAAAGTTGCTTCAAGAAGGCAGCCTATAAGCCAGGCCTTGAAGGATAGGGAGGTTTTGGATGGATGGAGGAATAAGGAATGTTTAGTAAAGCAAGCCTGATACCTGATACAGGGCTGAGTGAGTCTGAGGTGAACTAGGGGGACAAATAGACCACATGGACACACAAACACATATACATCATAGTTATCACCTTGTTGAGGGTCTCTTGAAGTACAGGCTGAGCCAGGTTGTGGGCTTTTTTTCCTGAGTTCATCACCTGCCTGGGACCCTGTATGTGATACAAATCAATAAAGGCAGATATGGCTAGACCCAATAGGAGCCTGGTGTATCCTGAAGAATGTGAAGTTATGAAACTGCAGTTGGGGTTGGGAAAAGGGCACCACTGAGACTAATTATGGCAGGTTCCCTGGAGGAGATTGGATGGCTCAAGGAGGGATTGAGGCAAGGGGTTCCAAGCCCCTTCTGCCTTCCCTGTAATACTCTGAGACATCATGGGCATTTGTAGATTCTACAAAGTGTAATCCAAGTTTACCGTGTTCATGAGAGCAGAGCCCATGGCAAACACCACTATTCTAGGGACCAAAGATGGCTCCTGAGTGGGTGATAGAGCACAGGTGGAGAAGCACATTATGGAAGCCAGTCAGCCCCCACATCGTTGCCCACCCTGCAACCACTCCCTAGACCCTGCTTCATCCATCCTCCCCTCTCTCCAATGCCTTCTTCAGTCTGTTCTCTTCTGCTTCCCTAACCATGCCTCCTTCTCCAGCCTTTTTGTTCTGGTCTCACTTCTCCCTATGGACACTATGACTTCACTCTTCCCAGGCTTCAGTACCAAATCTCAATTCTCAGCCCATCACTCTTGCCTCTACTCCAGATCCCGACTTCTGTCCCCATGGCCAAGCTGGATTCAGCCCTTTCCCAAACTTGTCCATCCTCTGCTTCATTGCAGTAAATACCTCCACCATCAACCCATCTTCTGGGAGACATTGGCTCCTCCTCTAACACATGCCTTTCATCCGACCAGCCCCAGATCTTGGTTTATTTACACCTCCTAAAAAGATCAAGAGCTCAGCGCTAGTGGCTCATGCCTGTAATCCTAGCTACTTGGGAGGGTGACATCAAGAGGACTGAGGTTCCAGGCCAGCCTGGGCAAATAGTTCGCATGACCCCCATCTCCAAAATAATCAGAGCAAAATGGACCGGAGGCGTGGCTCAAGCGGTAGAATGCCTGAGCTGAGTTCAAACCCCAGTTCCACCAGAGGCGGGGTTGGGGGGCGGTGTAGAAAAAAAAAAAGCAATGAGGGAGCAAGCATACTGCAGGCGGACCCAGCCGAGGCCGTGGCTAAACCATTACAACCATAGAGCCCTCCCAGAGGGCGGAGCTAGAGTAGCCGCAAGCGTGGCTGGGTGCTCCAGGCTCTCCCGGAAGTCTCTCTGGGCCGAGGCGGAAGCGGAAACCTATTTAGGGAGAGAGGTTGTTGCCGCGTGTGGGGGGGTGAAGTGGCTTGGTGAGCTGGTGTGGGGGCCGTAAGGGTCGGAGAGAGGTAGGGTCAGTAGGATTCCGAACCCGAAAGCACAGAGGGATCCAGTGGGCGGGACCCGAGTGCTGAGGGGCGGAGTCTGAGGGCACGCGGCCGGAAGACCCGGCCCCAGTGAGATTCTGCGGGCTTGTGAACTCTTGGTCGCGCAGCCCCTGGGCCTCCCTCATGGCGGTCCGCGCATCGTTCGAGAACAACTGTGAGATTGGTTGCTTTGCCAAACTCACCAACACCTACTGCCTGGTGGCCATTGGAGGATCAGAGAACTTCTACAGGTACAGCGAGAGCCCTTGGGTCCGTGACGGCGGGGAGGGATGCCGGGAGTCGGGGGGGGGGCGGTGGTTTGGCCCCCACCCCGTGACCACCGAGTCCATGTCCGAGTCCATGTCCCTACAGTGTGTTCGAGGGCGAGCTCTCCGATACCATCCCAGTGGTGCACGCGTCCATCGCCGGCTGCCGCATCATCGGACGCATGTGTGTGGGTAAGGCAGGTGGAGGGCGCCGAGGGACAGCTGGAACCTCCAAACACCACCGATCATTAATCATGCCCCTGGAGAGGATGCGGAGTGCCCTGGGGATTTCCAGGCTTTCGTTTACATCTCCGTGGACTACGGACTCTGTCAGGGCTCAAGGACAACCTCTGGCAAAAGCTGCTGGAGACTAGTCCTAACAAATATCATTAAGTGCTTTCCCTCTTGTTTACATTCCGTCTTCACAATGACACCGGAGGTAGGAATTGTCCTCATTTGACTGTTGAGGAAGCTGAGATTCAGAGAACCTAATGTGACTCACCAAGTTCCATCTCTAGGGTGGAGGAGTTGAATCTCATCTCTTCGCTGCACTGACTATGGACAAGTTGCTTCATCTTTCTGAGTATCCATTTCTGCCTCTATAAAATGACTGACTAAAATTTTGGGTCATCCTGTTCAGCTACATTTAAGTACTAAATTACCTTTACCAGATCTCTCAGTGGCCTCTCTACTCCCTAATTTCCTAGCACTGTTGACTCTTTGGTCCTTTCTTTAACCTGGCTCTGTGTACACCTCCTGCCTCCCTTTGTTTCTTAGTTCTGCATATTGAGTTCATGCAGAAGTCTATTCCTTTATTTTTTTCACTTAGAAATTTTCTTTTATCTTTTTACTATGGTGACCTCAAGTATTTTCTGATTCACTTAAAACACTGATCTCAAAATACAACAATTAACAAAACATCTTGATCTGTATCCATGCTTATAGGACTAGAAGCACATTCTGACATAAGGGATATTTTAGCCCAGCCCTGGTCTTATTTTAATGAGAGTAACTCAGTTCAAAGTTGTGGCCTGAAAGGTACAGGCAGAGGTTTAGACATAGTTGCCACAATGTAATTGTAGCTTGTTCATTGGTGGTGTTCTGTAGTACATTTTGTGTAAGTACATCACAGTGTATTCATCCATTCTGATTACATGGACATTTGGGCAGTTTTCAGTTTGGTCTATAAGAAATAATGCTGCTTGTGTAAATATGAACATAAGTACATATTTCTCCTGGATACTTTAAATTTAGGAGTGGGATGACACTGGTTATTTGACTATTCAGTGTAGCAGACAGTGCCAGATAATTATCTGAAGTTATTGAGCAATTTACACTCCTATCACTTCTTCTACATATCATTGTCAGCACTTGGTATTGATGGTCTTTTAAAAATTTTAGCCATTCTGGTAGGTATGTGGTGTTAGGTTAGTTTTAAGCAGCAAAATATACTACCAATGCCAAGAATCCCCTGCCAGTCCTGCTCCCCTCCAGTTGATGGTGAAATGAGCAAGGTTTGATGGGATAGATTCCTGGGCTACTAGGGCTTTCCCAGGGAACCCTTGGTTCCCCTGGTTGGTATATGGAGGGCTGGGTTCTGAGCCTAAAGCCATCCTAGAGAGAGTAATTGGTTCAGACTGGGTTGGGTATTTGTATCCTCAGCCCACAGGGCCCAAGAAGCATCTTCTATGTTTATAGTTTATTTTTGCCCTACCTTCCAATTTGGGTTTCTCCAGGGAACAGGCATGGGCTCTTGGTGCCCAACAATACCACTGACCAGGAACTGCAGCACATTCGCAACTGCCTCCCAGACTCAGTGCAGATTCGGCGAGTGGAGGAGCGGCTCTCAGCCCTGGGCAATGTTACCACCTGCAATGACTATGTGGCCTTGGTCCACCCAGACCTGGACAGGGTGAGGCAGCTCAACTTGGCCCAAGAGTCACAGGGCCAGCCTAGTCAGGAAGTAGGGGTGTCACTTAGGATTTCTCCTTATATGTGGCTTTCCACATGTAAGTGGAATAGTTGTAGGAATAGTGATAATAGAGATAATAGAGGTCTTCTGTGGTGTGGTCAATGTCAGAAGTTGGGGTGTGGGCATTAATCCTTTAGGATTGGGGAGATTAGCCTACCCAGGATAGATGATTGTCAGTTAAACTGGAGTGTGGGTTAGTTGGAAAAGAGCAGCATGGAGGCCAGCCTCAAGCTGTTCAGGACATGCTTAAGTCTTAGGGGCTCCATAGCTAGCCTATAATCTAAGCTTCACTTCTTCCCTTCTCCGAGGGAGACTTCCATATACAGGTATGTAGCAGAGAAATGAAGGGTTGAGAGCCAAGCCTTGGGTGGTTCTGGCTTGGTTCTGGTTCTTTAGCCTGTGTGTTCTTGGCCCAGAGCATAGTACCTTTGGCCAACAGGAGACAGAAGAAATCCTGGCTGATGTGCTCAAGGTGGAAGTCTTCAGACAGACAGTTGCTGATCAGGTGCTAGTAGGAAGCTACTGTGTCTTTAGCAATCAAGGAGGACTGGTGCACCCTAAGACTTCAATTGAAGACCAAGATGAACTGTCCTCTCTTCTTCAGGTCCCCCTTGTGGTAAGCATCCATTCTCTGACCCCCTAACTCCTGTTGACTGAGACAGATCCCTTTGGCCAGTGTTTAGGAATCTGGGTCATTACCTCACCTAGTTTGGATTGGGCTACAGGTCAGGGAGCAGGCATTTGGGGGTGGATCCTCACTGGGGAGGCAAGAAAATTTTAGCTGTTGGTGCCATGACCTATGGTGAGTCTATCCTTTGGCAGGCGGGCACTGTGAACCGAGGGAGTGAGGTGATTGCTGCTGGGATGGTAGTGAATGACTGGTGTGCCTTTTGTGGCCTGGACACAACCAGTACAGAGCTGTCAGTGGTTGAGAGTGTCTTCAAGCTGAATGAAGCCCAGCCTAGCACCATCGCCACCAGCATGCGGGATTCCCTCATTGACAGGTATCTGGGGCCATGGAAAAGGCTCACTTGGAAGGGTAGGGGAAGAATGGGAGCCAGTTTGCATTTGTACTGGGAGGTTCTCCTCAAATGTGAGAGTGTTATCTACATACTTCTGAGCCATCACAGGATATAGCTGACAAACATTTGAGCATCTGCTCATCCTCATCTTGGAAGACTCAGCTTTCTAGGCAGACTTTTCCTATGGTCCATCTTATTTGATCACTGATCATACTTTGCTTGTGTGTCAGTATCTGAGACAGAAACAAGCTGTTGGCTAGGGATAGTGAGAAGCCTCTTAAACCCTGAGGATACCCCAGGATTCCTAAGGGATTTTGAGTTCAAACTCCAGTAGCACTTTAAAAAAGAAAGAGCTGGGCACTGGTGACTCACAACTGTTATCCTAGCAACTCAGAAGGTAGAGATCAGGAGGATTGTGGTTTGAAGCCAGCTGGGGCAAATAGTTCCCAAGACTCTAGCTTGAAAAACCCATCACAAAAAAGGGCTGGTGGAGTGGCTCAAGGTGTAAGCCCTGGGTTCAAAACCCTAGTTCAGGGAGGAAAAAAAGAAAATATTCACAAGCCTCCTTTGGTTTTGGTTTTTGAACACATTTTGATGGAGATATCCATGAGATCTCACAGTGAAGATGCCAGGTAGGCAATTAGAAATGTGTACTTCAGTTTTACAATCATGCACTTAATTATCACCTACAGTAAGAATGTTTTTGGACTGTCGAGTGGCTCAAGCAGTAAGAGCACCTGCCTAGCAAGGGGGAGGCCTTGAGTTCAAACCCCAGTGCCAATCCCCATCCCCTCCAAACAAACAAAAAAAAGAATGTTTTCACTTAATTTTTACAGAGCAGATCTGTTTTCCAACCTTGCATTTAGTTAGCACTAATTAGAGAGTTCTGGAAAGGAACACCAAAGTTTTGGCCCCACTCTGGCCACTGAGAGACTTGTGGTCTGGGCACATCATTTCCTTTGACTGAGCCTTCCTTGCTCCTTTCTCTAATGTTCAGAGACTCTAATTTATGATTCATAACTAAATTGTTGAGCAGGTTGACCCACCTGAGTGGGAAAAGAAGTTGTACTCTTTAAGCACTTAGTTGTAGACTGGACTGTGACATGGGATGTAGTCAGACCTGGAATCTGAATGGGACCAGGTGGAGTTCTGCATGTGGCTCTTTAGTGCTGAGCTAGCACAAAGGTCCAGGGGTGGGGCAAGGTGTGCCCTCTTTAACAGTAACTGATGATGTTCCTCTTTCCTCTTTACAGCCTTACATGAGTCACCTTTCTTGCTGTTGCGTGGGCTCCTGCGCCTGGACTCTGGCTTTGTCTCCGTGCCTCAGCTAGTCTGTACTGGAAGTTGGCAGGGAGGTGTTAGCAGAGAGCTCACAGGAACAGTGACTGAGGGCCCAACCATTCTTCACCTGTGCCATCTCTTGAATCTGTTACTGAAAAACCTTCCGTGTCATGCTGGCTGTGGGTTCCTGTGGCTTCTGATGAGGGTTCTGTTGTTCTGTGCTACTCCATTAAAGGGCAGCTGCCTCCCTCGATTCTGAATGTGCTGTTTGTGGACTTCTGCCTTGTGTGACATCCGCTCCCCAGTTGAGGGTCCTGGGCAAGTTGGGGGAGGGGTTGACACCTACAGCCCTCTCCCTCATCACCAGGATGGGAGACTTCATCATCCCACTTAAGAGGAAGAAGCGCTCTCCACTGTAATTATTACATTTTTTACCCAATTTTTTTCCCGGTCCTTTCTGGAGGATGAGAGTGTGTTCAGCAGCTCCCCTGCCACGTTGAGAACCCTGTAAGGGGTCCTGGGCACCGGGCCTCTTGCGACCTAAGGCGGATGGGGTGGGCGGGGAGCGCGCTGGAGGCCAGGAAGGACGCCATTGGTAGGGTGGTGCGCGGGGCGGGGCCTCCTGGCGCTGGGGCAGGATTGGCTGTCTGCTCATTGGGCCCTAGTTTCCGCTCTGGCGAGTGGAGGGCGGGGTCGGCGCGCGGTGACGTGGACGCTGCTCCCGAAGCCTCGGCGGTGGAACGCGGCTGACCTCCGGTCTGCCTTGAGGTGAGCGTTGAGGTGGGGCTGCGGTTGTGGGCGGGTTACTGCTAGGGCGGACCTGACGGGTTTCTCGTTCTGCAGACCATGGGCGCTCAGCTGAGCGGCGGCCCGGGCACCCCAGAGCAGGCGCAACCCCAATCCCAACCCCCTGCCCCGGAGCAGCCCCCGCCGGAGCCCCAGCCCGAGCCCGAGCCCGAGCCCGAGCCCCAGCCCGAGCCCGGCCCGTGGGGGCCGCTGGACGACGTGCGCTTCCTCATCGCCTGCACCTCCTGGTACTGACTGCTGCTCTCCAGAGGATGCCGAGCCGCCAACTCTTACACCCGTTCCTCTGTCTCTTAAACCGTCACCCCTGTGCCCAAAGATGGGCAGAGAATCCAAACAGGTCGCAGGGTCTGGAAGTCTCAGCAGGGCTGCCCCCCCGGCTTACCGGCTCGCCCCAACCTCGAACTTCAACCCTGAACTTGTTTCCTTGCCAGCCTGCTCCCAAACCCAGATCAGATCTTCCTGTTCACCCCATCCCTCCAGTTGCCTGCATCTTGAGGCAGCCTTCCCTGAACCAGAGCTAGATCCAGGTCAGGCCTCCTGGTAAGACTCCGATACTGGTGAATTGTTGGCCTGTCTGACTCTCACTGCTACAACGGAGTACCCATCCGTGTCCCAGGTTGTGGCACGATGTGCCCTGAGAAGTCCTTGCCTTAGTGACCCTGAAATGATTTAAAAAACATTATACAAAGGCTGATCAGTTTAAAATGTGACCGACACTGAAATGCTGTGATGTCCCACAGGCTGAGGGGAAGCTGGACTCTGGGGCCCTCAATGCTTTGCCCCTCTGTTTGACTGCCCTGACCTGGGGTGATGGACAAACAGATGACCACAGGCAGGAGAATCCAAGATTGGAAGCCTCTAGGCTGAGCCTCTCTGGGCCTAGCCCTGCATCCCTCTCATCTGCAGCTTGGGCTGGCTGCCTCCATCTCCTGCTCTTTCTCAGCTGGCCTTGTAGTACCAGGAGCCACTGGGGAGCCTGGGGGCCCTAGAGCTTTCAAGAAGTGAGAGCACCAACCTGAGGAGTGGAGAGTGACCAGGAAGAGGTGGGGAGGGAGGCCATGAATAGAGACACTGATCTCAGACCCTGCAGGGGTCCACAGATGAAACACAAGATCTAGCCAGCCCACTGGATGGCCCAGGCAGGTAATAGAACTTCTTTGTGCTTCATCTGAGGGTATGATGAGAGTTACCCTTGGCCTCTCAGGGCCTACACGAGTTTCATGTGAGTGGATAGGTGTGAGCTAATAAAGTGCTTTGCAAAGTATAAAACACTGTACAAACCTATGAATCACTAAATCTCTGCAGTTGTTCCCCGCCTGCCCCAGGGAGCCTGCCCTTGGCCAAAATGAGAAAAAACAGGATGATGATGAGCAGGGGACACAGTGGACCCACATAGAAGCCTCTGGGACAAGAGATTTTACTCAAGACCATTCCCAGGGCAGCAGGAGTCCTTGTCTGTGCTACAGGGTAAGCTGACCCAAAGCCCAGAGGCCACAGGGTGGGGGCAAGGCCCATGCAGGCTCAGAGGGCAGGGGTGGCTTCTGGGACCCTGCCAGCACCCTGAAGACTAACACTGCTTTTTGGCTTTGGCAGAGAGCCAGTGGGCAATGCTGCATTCATTAGTCTTGCCTAGGGCTCCTCAGTGACAAGCAGGGCTGCCTCTGATAGACTAGAGCAAGTCAAGCTGAGCCCTAGGGACTCCTGTCAGAAATGGGCCCAAGAAGGTCAAAAAGGGAGGCCCCTAGGCTTGGGGCTGCTACCAGTTGGGTGTGCCCTTTTTCTAAGAGCAATGTAGGAAGATGGGCCCAATGAGGTGGGTTGCCAGGGCCAATATCGTAGCATAAATGCTGCTTCTGGATGGAGAGATTGAGTTGCCTTAGGGTTGCTAGGGGTGTGGGCACCGAGTAGTTTAGAAAGCTACCCTGGGCCCCTTACTTCAAGGCCATGATAGTGATGGCCCTAGAACCATCTCTGCTTTACTTGTCAGGTTGAGTCTCTTCCCCTCATCTCCACCAGGTCATAAGTGACAGGCTAGAGCAAGGCTGGAGACAGGGTTAATGGAGGGGGGTTGTGTGGAGGGTGGTCACAAATTTGGATTGACCTCCAGAGACATGGTTAGCTCCTACCCCAGTTCTTGAGCCTCATGAGCACAGACCCAGCTAGTGTTGGGATGCTAGTGGCCTTAGCAGCACCTTGGTCCTTATCACCTGGGGGAGGGCTACCATGCTAGCCTCATCACCAAGACAGTCACCTCTAATTTGCCTAAAGTCTCAAGCAGCCTTTGCAAAATGGGACTTTTTAAACAGTAGTGACAGGACATTTAAATATTCACGACATGACAGCTGGGTCCTTATTAGACCTAGCTGGGCCACAGCCCTGCCTGCAGCATATGAACCTAAATCTTGGGTCTCAGAGGAGACCTGACAAGTGGGGCAGGTTTCCTGAGGATCTACTGTTTTCCAGAAGGGGAAACCCAGGCTTCTTGCCCACTGTGTTGGTAGCAGGGATCCTACAGACTTGGAGAACAGTGGGGTGGGGGTGAGGGGACATCTGACCAGCAGGTGTTGGCAGAAGAGGATTGAGATTGGTGGCATCTCCCAGATGGGGGATGAGAGCTAGTGCTGGCTTGCCACAGAGGGTGCTGGGTCTGAGCCAGGACGAGCTGTGGGTACGTCATGGATACCACAGTATATAGTGAACACAGGCTCCTCCTGGCATGGTTCCTGCCTCCTAATGGGCTCTGGCCTATTCCCTTGAGTAGAGATTAGTTTACCCAGGACAGAAGGCTGGCAGTTGGGTGCCAGACACCCACCCCGGGGCACAGCCATAATCACTCCCTGCCCTATGCTCAGCCTAGGCCAATGCACCCACCACTTCGGCTGTATGACCTTGGCCCAGGGCCCTAGTGGCCCTGGTGTGCAGTGGCCAGAGCTGCCCCTCAGACCGTGGTGAGGAAGGGCCTGAATGGCCAGACCAAGTGGACAGAGAGGGCTCTGGGCTGCTCACACCCACTCCTGGACTGGCCGCTTATAGTAGGTGACAGGTTGAGGGCCTGCCTTGTTCTTGAACTGGAAGATGGTGTAGACCAGCACCAGGATGCAGAGAGACAGGATGCAGGGGATGACCACTGCCACAGCATTCACGGAGCCCGGCACATCATTGATGGTCACCATGATATCCACATCATCCTGAGGCAGCCGCCGCTCCTTGCGCCGTTCCACCTCCTTCTGGTTGCAGCCCATCCAGTCACGCAGGATGTTACGTGGGTAGCCTGGCTCCACACTCAGTTTCTGGTTGTCAAACTTCCAGTAGTCCCGACCCTTGTAGAAGTAGGTGTAATCTGCAGAAATAGGGCTTAGCATCACTACTCCAAGACACTTCCTAGCACCTGCTTTGGGCCAGTAAGAGGGAAGGCATAGGGTGCTATGGCAGTGTGCAGGAGGGAAGCTCTGCAGGATCGGTGGAGGGAGTAGGCTGTTGGACCCGTGGAGATGGGGTGAGTGTGGTGCTTGGCTGAATTGTGGAGTAAATGCAGCTGCAAGGAGGAGTCACCTGTCAGCTCCCAAGTGGTAGGGAACCACTGAGGGGCTTTAAGTAGAACTAGGAAATGGTTGAATTTGTGCTGTTCAGACAGGACCATTCTCAGCCTGGATATGGTTCTGTCACTGCCTATAGACTCCCCAAACCCTTAAGGCTTGGACAGTACTGTCTCCACAGCTTAGAGCTGCCTCAGTTAAGCTCCTGTCTTAGTCAAGGAAGCAAAATTTCTCCTGTTGACAGCAGACACTAACTCTCCATAATTTTTTTTTGGCTTGGAACACATCAGACCCTTCAGGAGGAAGGGAAAAAGGCTAAAAGGAAAGGCAAGGTATGCCAATCCCTCCCTGACCAGCCACCTCTAGGTCCTCAGCAACAACTTCAGCAGCTCAGCCAGTCTACAGAGAGCAAAGCAACTTGCTCAGTCTCTCCTCATTGGCTAGCTCCCTTTCCTGGATGAGACTTTCATTGGTCAAGGTCTTTGATGTCATCTGTCTCTGAGGCTACCCCAGAGACACTGGGTACACATGCCAGCCAACAAATAGCAGCTCTGCCCCTGTGGCCATTGACTTTTTAAGGAATGATGCCTGGCATTGTCTCTAATGTGGTATCCTCTGCCTAGTTGCTTTCTTACAGCATTTATTTTCCTTCTAGCTTTTGTTGCCACCTTATTTGTTTTCTGCCACTAGACTAGGAACTAGTCTCATTCACTGCTATATCCCAGGTCCCCCTCCTTCAGCAATTGTTGTGGAGTGAATGAATGAATCCTGTCATTTACATAAACTGAAACATACTAACAAGATGATGATGATGATAGCAGCTAAAAGTTACATAGCATAGACATGTGAGAGGCATTATGCTGAGTGCTGTATGTAATTTATTTAATCCTCACAAAGCCATTATATCAAGATAAATGCCATTATTATTCCCATTTTATAGATGAAGAGACTGAGAAACAAATGATTTGCCCAAATTCATGGAAAGCAGTAGAGGTGGTCTATGAACTCAGCCTGTCTGGCTCCAGAGTTTGTGTTTGACCAGATCAACAGACAGTCCTGGATGCCTGCTCTGCACCTGGCAAGATCTGACCCCTCCTATTGAGAAGCTCCTAGTCTGGTGGGGAGACAGGCTGTGAGTGCTTGATGGCAACCATGGTGGGTGTTTGGCAGCCTGGCCTCTAGAAAGAGCTTAAGAAATGTCTTACAAATTTCAAAAAACTTCTCTCTCCTGCTCCCTGCCCTTAACCCTGTAAATAAGTACCTTTGAGCAACCCCTTACCCATCATTACTTTTCACATCTGACCACTGAGAAGCCCTTAGAGAATACCTGAGGAATATTGAGAAATACTGTCTGAAGGAATGAAGTCAGTCAATTGTTTATCATTCCTGAAGATGAAAACTTGAATAAGTGCCATAGGGAGCAGTTGTCTGCTACCAGGTCGCACTTTTCTAACTTGGGTACCTTGAAAGTATGTCTGGGGCCCTAAGGAGAACCACACAAAATCAGCTCCCCACCCTGCCTCAGGTTGGCCCTTACTTACATCCTTCCTTGCTGATGAAGGCCCCTTGGGGAGCCTGTGGGATGCCTTTCCACACAGTGATGGGCTTGGGGTATCCAGGGTCTGTGGCCTTCCGCTCCTCACTGTAGCGCCAGTACCGCTCGCCTTTGAAAAAGTAAGTCTTGCCACAGGTTCCCAGCGCAGAGCCGTGTCAATGCCTTCACGGGGCAGGCAGCTGCCTAGTTCCCCCAGGCTGTGGGGGTACCCAGGTTCCACTGTCACCTCTTTAAACACCCAGTACTTGTCACCTGTGAACAAAAGGGTCCCAGGATCAGTCTTCCCTAGCCACTCAGTGCTAGAAGTTGTAGCTAGTGCCATTTGCTCATGTTTCTACATAGAGCTGTAATGTCAGTCCCCTTGGCCCCTTGGCTCCTGCAGATCTTGGGATCAAGAAGACAGAAGCCAGTCACAGACTTCCCAGGCTCTGTTCCTCACCTTCATGACTTGTTCTTCTCTCTGGTGATTTTAGTCTTTCCTGTGATTTCACATACTACTGCTTTTTGCCGCCATGAATGACACCTAACTCTGAACCACTCTCATACTGGACCTGGGCCCCACCTTGGATCTCCCACATTGATCTCCCATGGCCCCTGGCAGTTCCAAGAGCTTCCTAGAGCTTCTCATCTGCACTATAGAAAGTTACCTCATCCTGCCTCCTGTGGTCCATAGAAGAAGGTCTGACATCACTTATGAGGCCTTGAGTCTTCTTGTAGCTGTCCCCTGACTTCTAGCTGTACTGCTTCTCCTCGGTTTGGGCCTCATGGATGACATTCTCCTCAACCCCAGAAACAAGCTCTGAAATGCCCTCCCTGACTCTGTGCTATGATATTGCCAATCTGCCCGATGGCTTTGTGCTGCTCAGAAACATGCAATAAATTTACAGCATTGGCCTAATGGGTCCAGACCACATTATGGCCTGGCAGCCACGACTTCAACATTTGCACAAATCTTCTCATAGCCACTTTTCACAGCTCTTCAAGGTGGGGTCTGGGTGGCTGTCAGGTGGATTTCTAAGCCCTTTGACCAGCTCTACCACAACTCCTTCACTCGTGCTGTTCTGTCCTCCTGAGTGCTTTCCTTGCTTTGTAGTGTTGGTATCTTACCCATCTTGTGTCTGGCCAAATCAAGATAATCAGTGGGAAACAATCTAGCACAGTTCTGGGCCCAGGGTGGGCACCTTAGCTCCTTCTCCCCTCCCTGACCTCTCCAGCTGTGTGACCTCTTTCCTCTAGGCTCTCACAGAACTGAAAAAATGGCCTTCCATGCAGTGTTGGGTGGTCTTCAATTACCACCCTCTACTTCATGCAGGTGAAACTTTTCACCCCACCAACTTTGCACTTACTGATCCTCAACAATAACTTCCTATTTTGATTTCCGCAGATAGTATACTGCCTGCCTGCAAGGATCTGTCCTATCAGAGGTCAGTATCTCTGTTAAGGCTAGAAGAACCCTTGGAGGGCATCTGCTTCCCACCCCACTTCTTCTGGTTGAGATGTGGAAAAATGAAATCCCAGAAACGGCAAGGAACTATCCCTGGTCCCACAGCACAGACTACATTACCTTTGAAGAAGACAAATCTCCCATCAGCCCTTTCATAGGCAGCATCTATGCGGGCAGGTAGGCCCTTCCAGAACTGCTCTATCTGCATGGGGTAGCCCTCCTGCACCCTGTTGTTGCGCAGACGCCAGAACCATCGATCCTGGGGAAAGGGAGGAGAAAGGGACATGCCTCTGAGTACAGTGATCTCAGCCCAGGGCTCAGGCCCAACAACCCAACACTGTTCCCTGGGCTTAGTCTTATAACCCTCCCACAGAGTCTGTCTGCTGCTTCCACCTCTCAGAGGAAGACAGGATGCTCATGCACTTCATTTAATCCTCTCTGCTGCCGGGGATCTGTGGGAGAGGTGTGGAAAATCTAGAAAGGATAGCATGGCCTGCAGTGGCCATGAGAGGGCAGCAGACAGTCACTAATGTCAGCTGGGCAAGACCTCAGTCTGGTGAGAATCCCAGTGTGGTAAGGAGGGGATGATAAAACTCACATTTGGGCCAGGGTGCTAGTGGCTCACACCTGCAATCCTCGCTACTCAGGAAGCAAAGATCAGGAGTGTCACAGTTTGAAGCTAGCCCTGAGCAAATAGTTTGCGAGACCCTATCTTGAAAAAAACCCATCACAAAAAAGGGCTGGCAGAGCGTCTCAAGCACTCAAGAGGTCCTGAGTTCAAACTCTATTGCCATCAAAAACAAACAAAACCCTCACACTTGCCTATGAACAGTTCATTGGGTAAAAGGTGAGAGAGTTATATGATCTGAAGAGAAACCATAGTATATGAACACTTCATTTGGGAGGATCAAAGGAAGTACAGAAGAAGGAATGAAATTCATAAAAGATGGTACAAAACTAAGGTGTTCTGCAAGGCACTTTTAGGACAGTTTCTTAACATTCTTGTGCTCTAAGATAGGCAGAGTCTTAAGAAAGGCCAAATGATATACCTCGAAACTCTGAGTAAGAGGCAGGACTGGGGCTGACCCATTTAACCTGAATCTTGCTCAGTGCTCAAAGCTTGCTTGGAAGGCCTCCTTGACCACCCAGTGTAATGAAGACCCCTGCCCAACTGCTCAGATCCCCTTTGGTAAAGGCTGTTGCTCTAGTGGCCAGAGGTGCAGCCAGCAGGAAAATTTCAACTGTCAGTCCCTTTGGGGATGACTTTGTCTCCAGAGAGCCTCCCTTAAGGTCATGCCCTTCCTCATCCATTGACTGAATGAGGCAGGAGGCATAAATTTCTGGCCATTTTGGTTCCAATGTGGGAAGACTCTGATGGGTCATTCTAGCTCCAGAGCTCCCATAAAGGTGGTAGAGTTGCAACAGGCCTACATTGCTGCTTAGATTCTCCCTCTGCCCTGTCCTGCTTCCTGCTCCCCCTGCCTACAGATGTTGATCCCAAAGGTTACTTTAATCAGAATTCTGCATTATAGACTCTTGTCTCTGAATCTGTTCTCCTGAAGACCAGCCTTCAAGCACACTATATCCATTAGGCCTTGGCTAATGTAATAGACATAGGAATGATGACAAGATGTAGCTTAGCCAGTACCAGTCTCTCAGGTCCTGGCAGGATCTGCAGTCAAACTCAGCCACCACTGTTCCAGACTCTATTCTGAGTCTGCTGTTATCATAGCCATTTGACCTTCACAACCCTTTGTTGAGAAATGACTCCCCTAGGTTTCAGATAGATAGGTGAGGTCCAGAGAAGGAAGATGACTTCTCAAGGTCAGAGGCTAGAAGCCATTTTCAGTACTTTCCCCAGCATTAACTTCCCAGAAAGGTGCCAACTCACTAATCTTTCCCCCTCACCTATTGGAAACAAATTGATTCAGCACCAGAAAGAGACCCCAGGTCCTGGCCAGTAGGCCATATCTGGTTCAGGTCCCATAGCATCCTGACTCTAAAACAGAAGCCTCACCAGGTCTGTGGTTGGAGGAGGAGATGAAGGGTCCACCTGTGTAGTACAGATTCACCATCCCTACCTTAAACACAAACATCTCGCCCCGGAAGAGGGCCACCGTGTTGAAGTTGCCGTCGCAGATGTTGGGTTTAGCGCCTGGAGTGGATGGCCGGTCCCCAAGGGGTGGCTGAGGGGGCCTGGGCTGGCGCTCATGCTTCCTCTCAGATGGTGAATGGATCCTGCGGACTGGGAGTGTGGGGAGAGGTCTTGTGGGCTCCAGAGGCTCAGCTGGGGGTCCTGGAGAAAAGGGCCACATTTTAGAGAGGGGCCAGCCATTCTCCACTGCCCTCCGCTATTAACTCATTATCCTCCAGGCAGCTACTAGTCAACTCTTGTCACCTTCTGGCCTCCTGTCCCTTCTCCCTGATTTAACTCCCCTTCATTCTTTAGCCCACTCCAATATACTTCTTCACTCCCCACCCAAACCACTTGCCAAGATCACCAATGACCTCTATGTTGCAGAATCTAATGGTTATTGACTCAAACTTTGTTGAGCAAATGAATCATCTAAGAATGCTGATAAAATGCAGGTTATGACTCAGAGGGCCTGGAGTGGGGCCTGAGTTTCTGCATTTCTTCAGGGTCTCAGGTGATTCTGATGTTGCTGGTCTGAGGCCCACACATTTAGTAGCAAATCCTGGGAACACTTATCTTGAAATACCTTCCTCCTTTTCCAGGGCCCTGCAGTTCTCCTGTTTTCCTGTCATGTTGTGGGCTGTTTCCTAAGAGATTAGAGTGCTCTTAGGCCTCTTCTCTGATCTCTTGACATTTTTTGTTTATCCCTATCGAGTGCCTCTCAACTTGGCCTGCATAGTTAGGATCACCTGGACAGTTTTCAAACTCTATCTCCTCAGAAAGCATCTCAGACCAACTAACCCAAATCTGGGTGGCAGTGCTTTTTATTGGAATCTTAAGGTGATTCCAATGGACAGTCAAGTTGAGAATCACTTTTCTAGGTGACTCATCCAGGTTCATTGTTTTAAAGACCCTCAACATCAGAGCTGTCTACTGGGACATTCTGTGGTGATGGGAGTGTTCAATTCTGTACTGTCAATACAGTAGCCTCTGGCCACAGGCACATATGGCTATTGAGCAATTGAAGTGAGTGACTAGTTCTTAGTGTGATGGAGGAACAGAAACTCCAGCTTTACTTAATTTTAATATATGTTTCAATTTCTATAGCCACCTGTGGCTAGTGCCTATTGTATTGACACTAAAGATCCCAAGTCAATATCCTAGCCAGGTATTTGAGCTGCAGACTAGTAAATCTCATTGCCTCACAATTGCAAAAGCCAGAGCCTTTGATGTTATCCTTGACCCTCCACTTCTTCTCATCCCTGAATCTGACCTGTCAGCAGGTCCTGTCCATTCTACCTTTGAAATACCTTCTGGTGCCTACTGCCCCCACCCTGCCCTCTGCTGCTTCACTTGTTGAGGTCTAGGGTCTAGATGGGGCATCTCTTCCAAAGGGAGCTTCCCTCCAGTACTCCATTGCCTGGAGGCCAGCATTTGCTGGCCTTCCTGCCTCAACTGAATTGACCAAAATGAGAATTTCATGCATGTGTCCCTGTGACCTGAGTTGGGAGAGATGCATGGTGGAGGGGCTTTCATATCTTTGTGTGTGTGTGTGTGTGTGTGTGTGTGTGTGTGTGTAATCAGGAGTTTGAAATCAGGGCTTCATGTTTGCTAAGCAGGCACTCTACCACTTGAGCCACACCTGTAGTCCATTTTGCTATAGCTATTTTGGAGATGGGGGTCTCAAGAACTGTTTCCCCAGACTGGCCTCAAACCATGATACCACCATCTTCCCAATCTCAGTCTCCTAAGTAGCTAGGATTACAGGCATGAGCCACTGGTGCCTGGCAGGGCTTTCATATCTTATTAACATAGCAGCCTAACTTCTCAAATTTTTTTTAAGATCAAAGCTGTGGTTATGCTACTCTCACCTTGTATCACTAGTATTCAGACAGATGTGCAGTTCTCTTTAGGTAGAGGTTACCTAGGACAGTGCCCAGTCACCATCTGATAGAGGGAGGGAATGGAGGTGAGAAGGAAGTGTGTAGAAGAGGAGGAGGTAGAGAAGAGGAACAGGTGGGCCTATCCTCATTTTGTCCTTCTCAGTCACAGCTCAGACCTTCCCCAAAGATTCCTAAGTATACCAGAGGAACCTCATAAAAGTTGGCACACAGTCAGAGACAGCACAATGCTGGTGAGTGGCAAAGCTTTCCCACCCCACTCCTGCACCCTGACAGGCAGGCAGCCACAGCCCAGCCCCACAGAAGAAGCAGTGGCCCCCTGTCCCTTGCCACGTACCATAGATCTTCTGAATGCCCTGGAGATCATCCTGGGGCAGCTTGAAGTTGTGCGTCTCCATGTACTGGTAGAAGGGGGCCATGATGGCACTAGGGTCGTTGGAGTGCTCAAGTCCCAGTGCATGGCCCAGCTCGTGTACAGCCACCAAGAAGAGGTCATTCCCTATGGAGAGGAGCAAAAAAGGTGCCCAGAACACCCACTTAGGTATCAATTAGTCAATCTCTTTTTTTTTTTTTTGGCAAATGCTGAACATACACTTTTGTGTCAGGTCCTCTGCTGGACACCAGAGACATACAGGGAAATCAGACATAATCCTTGCCTTCCAGACCTCTTGATATAGAGGAGAACATGGAGAAACAACGTAAGTGTTCTGGGGGCTTTGTACAGATGTCTATAAGGTTTGAGGGGGATTCTAAGGAGGAAGGGGAGAGGGGAAAATGCTCAAGGAAAGCTCCAGAAAGATTAAGCTTAAGTTGAGTTTCAAAAGGTAAATTGGTCAGGGAAGAAGAGGGTGGGGGTGGCATTCCTGGCAGAGGGAATGCTGTAAACCAGGTCCAGGGACAAGCAGTTTTATTTCACTTGGCTCTGGAACAAAGCATGAGGGAAGGGCCAGAGAGAGCTGAGGTCAGCCAGGCTGGCAAGTGTAATGCCCTACAAAGGAATTTGGATTGGGTTTCTTAGCCAACGGGGGTGGGGTGGGGGGCTGGGGGGTGAGGGGAGGTGTAAGCAGGAGAGGAGATGCAGGTGTGATGAAATCAGCCTGGGTGCAGTTGTGGGGAGGATTAGAGAGGAACAAGATCTGAGGTAGGAGGAGCAGTGGGATCAGTTCTGAAGCAGTACAGGGTCTAGATGGGAGAGGTAAAGGACCTGAGCCAAGGCATCAGTGGTGGGGACAAGTAGATTATGTCCTTGAGGTGACAGTCTGGTGGTCAGCTCCTGGGGACCCAGGGCAAGCCGGGCCCTGGGTGTGGGGCACCTCTCAATTTAGCAGGCTAGTAGTCCAGAAGAACTGAACTATAGGCCAAGATCAAGGGGAGGATTCAAGTATGGGTGGGAACACAATCCAGGTGCTGAAAGCGGGACACAGGATCCTGAGTGTAAAAGTGAGCAGCACAACATGGTGATTATGAGTGTCCATGGAGTGAGGCAGATCACCTTTATTTCCAGCGCTACCCTTACCAGCTTTATTAACTTGGCCAGTAGCTAGGTAAGGGATGAATACGATAACATATTGTATGGCATGACCCTGAATGGTTGCTACTGTGGTTACAGTATGTAAGACAGAACGTTGATTAGTAGAACAAGTCCACCACCAGAAAGGAAGCACAGGCCAGCTCCCCTGAGCTTCTGTATTATACCTGGGGCAGGGAAAGGCCTGAATATGAAGGGATTAAGTAAACACTGGGAAAGAAATGTCAGGGGTTGGGAGTTCTATCAATAATCCTGGTATTTATCTGTCCAGTTATAGACTCCTACTTGCCCTGACCTCTGGCATTTGTATGCCTCTTGAGCTCTGTCTCTTATCTCTCAGCCCTGGGCGTATCTCAGCCCCTTTCTGCCACCTCTGTCCACCAGAAGTCAGGAACCCTGCTGCCAACTCAGGCTTCAGCATCCCTGGTAAAGCTGCCCCACCTCAGGGCTCAAGGCCCTATGAGGGTCAGATAGGAGTGAGAATTATTTGAATTTCCTGGCTAAGGTCTTGGGAAAAGGGAAGAATCCTATGGGGCATACCCAGATCACTGGGATTGAGAACCTGCCTTTCCACTGATACCACCAGTGTCCTCAGCAAAGCCGCCTTTGAGCAATTATGGGAGGGGGGATGGGCAAGATCATGTTAAGGTTGGCCAGAAGCCTGGGGCTAGCCTTCTGCTGGGAAGGGCAGGCTGGCAGGAGAAGGCCAGGCTGCCCCCAGCACCTTCCTCAGGTCCTGGTCCTCTGGCAGCAGGGAGGCATGAGCTCATCTCTGAGTTTCATCCCAAATAAAGGCAGCTGCTCAAGCCACCAGAAGGTAGCTCTCCTTCCTGGGGCCCAACCTGGCTCTGCTCCTGACCTGCTTCTTTGACCAGCCATGCTGCTCAGGACCTCTGACTCCTGACCAGGCCCCTCCTTGAGACAATCCACAGGGATCTCAGTAGGGAGCCAGGGAGCAGGGCTCTGATCACCCAGATACTCTTGGCCTTTGTCCTTGGTCTGTGCCTGGGTCTTCAGAGACAGGAGTAACCTCTTGAAGGACTGGAGACTGCAGGTCTATCGCAGGTACCAAAAGGAAAAGAAGAGCTGGGGAGTCAGCATCCTACTGCACAGAAACCCAAGAGAGCTCTGGGGAGGAGAAGGAAGGAGGGACAGAAGGGCTCCCTGGGTTTATGAGAGGAAGGCAGAGGTATGAGGGGATATCTGCTGTAGAGAAGACCACTGTGCCTCCTGGGCAGAAGGCTCTTAGGGTAGACGCTGAGAGGAAGGAAACTTAGTGGCCAGACGTGTTTACTGGCAGCCAACAGCCTGGCTCTGAATCCCATTATGCCATTCTAGCAATGTGACATTTTTGAACTCTTCCTCTGTAAACTGAAGGGAATAGTGGTACCTTCCTCATAAGAATGGGGGTGAAGATTAATGAGACAAGGTGTGTAAAGTGCTCATACCTGCTCCTGGCACACTAGTCTCCTATAATGAGCATAGTCATGTTGTGCTGTGCATCAGGACCAGCAGCCCCAACAGCAAGTGTTCCTAAGGTCCCTGAGTTTCCTCTATGTCTTGACAGTGGGTGTGGCTACTCCAGTGGACCATGTATCTTCACTGGGAACTCCTTATTTGGTGATTCCCATCTTGATTCTCAAAAGGCATTTTTCTTCACTTCTCTAGCCAGTGATGTCCCCTCCACCTGGAATACTCTCCTAACTTCAAAGCTCAGTCCAGTGCCAGGTAGCCTGCTTGGTGTTCCCAGCTGGCCGGGTGTGCTGCTTTCTCCACACTCCTAGCATTTTCTCTGAGGCCACTAGCAGTCTATGTTGATTATAGCTACTAGTGCATATTCTCATCTGCCCCAGGAATGTGAGCATCTTGGGGCCAAGCTGATATGGGGAAGTGACAGCACCTAGAATGGAACAGTGTCAAAAACTCAATACTTTTCCAAGTTTGCTCCTTGAACCATCTCAAGTAGAACCCACCAGGGCTGGTGGAGTGGCTCAAGCTGTAAAAGTGCCTGCCTAGCAAGTGTGAGGCCCTGAGTTCAAACCCCAGGGCTACCAAAAAAAAAAAAGGGTCTGAAGTAGAACCCCTGGGGGGGGCACTGTTAAAGATGTGGAGTCCCAGGTTCAAACCTGGCTCTACCACCTACCAACTGTGAATTTCTTAATCCCTCAGCATAACTTTACTTTCCTCATCTGTAAAATGGAGATTATAGCCGGGATCCCATGGCTCACACCTGTAATCCCAGTACTCAGGAGGCAGAGATCAGAGGATTGAGGTTCGAAGCCAGCCTGGGCAAATAGTTTATGAGACCCTATCTCAAAAAACCCATCACAAAAAAGGGCTGGTGATGTGGTTTATGGTGTAGGCCCTGAGTTCAAACACTAGTACCACAAAAAAAAAAAAAAGGAGATATAATCCCTGCTGCTCCACCTCCTTGGGTGGGGAAGAGTTAGTGACGCAAGTGTAGAGGGGCTCTATCCTGTGAAACAGAGTATGGTCATGAAGCTTCTTCCTGCCTTGTCACCATCCCTTATGAAAAAGCAATACAGGGCTGGGTCCCCCTCCCCCCCGCCCCGGCAGAGATTAGTGAGTACATGTTGACTTCACTGTTGACTCATTTGGAACAAATGAAGATAGAGGAAGAGTCTGGAAATAGCCCGAGAAATTGGTTTAAAGGTGTGGTGGGCTAGTTTGCCCCTGCACAGACTCCAATGATGTAGGGAACAAGAATCACCCACACTATCCAGTGATTCTTAAGAGAGCTTTTTAAACACCCGGGGAGGGGGATTCTGATCCAGGAGGTTTGAGTTAGGCCATGGAACTTTATGTTTGTTTTGTTTTTAAGTAGGACACTGCATAGTATGTGCTTCCTGAAGTAGTGAACAGGAAGTACCCATACACTGAGGAAGGATTCCTGCATCTAGTCAGGCCTGTATAGCTAATTCATTCCCAATATTCAGGAATCTGAGGCGAGAGATGGCTTAAAAGTGAGCCTGAATCTGGTCAAGCCTAATGACTACTCAGGATCAATGCTAGGGGAAGAAAGCCTGGCAGGGGGGCTTTAAGAGACAGCTATTTGTGGTGTGTGGCTCTTGCTTACATCCTGATTCAAGCAAACAACTGGAAAGGACATCTCTGAGATAATTTGGGAAAATGAACACAACTAGGATTTAACTTTGTTGTGTTTGATGATGATTTTATGGTTATGTGAAAGTAAGTCTTTATCTGTTAGGGTATATACTAAAGTACCCATAGGTAAAATGGTGTTACATCTGCGATTTTCTTTAAATACATCAGCCAGCTGGGTGCCAGTGGCTCACATCTGTAATCCTATCTACTTTGGAGGCTGAGATTGGGAGGATCGAGGTTCAAGGTCAGGCTGGACAAAAAAATTCATGAGACCCACCCCCCAATAGCTGGGCACAGTGGCATGCACTTGTTACCCCATGCTTCACAGGAGACTGAGACCAGGCCAGCCTAGTCAAAAAAATTTGAGAGCTCCCATCTCAATGGGAAAAGGCTGGCATGCCACCAGCAATGGCAGGAAGCATATAATTGGAAGATTGTGGTCCAGGCTGGCCTGGGCAAAAAATAGAGACCCTATCTTCAAAATAACCAGAGGAAAAATGTCTGGAGGCATGGCTCAAGTGGTAGACCACCTGTCTTACAGCGGCATGAAGCCCTACCTTCAAAACCCCAGTACTGCCCTCCCCCCAAAAAACCTACATCAACCAAAAAATAAAAATGGGAGGGACTTGGTGAAGTAGGAATGACACAGTGTTCATCACTGAAGCAAGTGATAGGTACCTAGGGATCCTATCATTCTCCTCTTTTGGTGAGTTTGAAATTTTCCATAATGAAAGTTCAGAAAAAAAAACAATAATCAAAACTTCCCAGGAGATCCTACTTGTTCCTTCACTGAGTCTATGTGGAAATTAAAATGAGATAATATCCAGGTACTCAATAAATCTGAGCTCCTTTCCTCTTATTCCAAAACCTGTCTTGGAGCAGTACTTGTTAGCTCACCAGCCAGAGATCTATTGCCATGGTTTTGAGCTACATCTGGTCTATATCTGGTTTTTCAGAGCGAAGTTCTGCCTCCTATGGAAAGAAAACATTAGCTATCTTGGAATTTCTATGAGAACTGGAGTTTATTCATCAAAGATGTGGACAGGTGGGAGGGGTGCTGGAATGGTGCTCATTCACAGGTGCTAGGTCCTTCTCACACACATCACCAGTTCTAGGGAACTTAGGGACTGGGCCTCACAATTTCTTCAGGCAGGGAGTGGGTGTGGGAGCTATGCAGAAGGGGAGGCAAAGGAGTAGGGTAGGAATGTCTGCCTAGCACCACCATTGAACAAAAACCCTTTGAAAATTTGCTTGTCTCTATCAGGGCTATAAACCTTATCAGCTAACAGTGCCCAGCACATAACAAAATGAAAGTTCTCTTCTTCTGATACCTTATCAGTTAGAACAGTCAGCAATTTGTTGACACCAATCAAAAAATAAGATCGAGATTGGGTATGCAGAAAGTCAGGAAACACATCCAGGACATAGGGGTAAGGGAAGAGGAAGTGGAGCTTCTTAGGAAAGAAGACAAAAATCTGAAGGAGGAGGAGGGCAAAGAGATATTTAGCAGTTTCATAACTCTGAGCCTTGACCAGATCATCTCCTGAACAAACCTTAAACAGATAAGCTGAGAGTCACTAATCCCTGACCCATGCAATGATTTGGAGTGTTTTCAAGAGAATGATCCCCACCTATAGACTGCAAATGTGGCCTCTGAGGAATGGGGCCTTGAAGAGTAGCTCACAGCCTGAAGCAGTGCTAAGGGCAGAAAAAGATGCCATTTCCCAAAGTTGCTTAAGAATCAGTCTCCAGGGGAAGGTCTTGGAATCCATGTTTCTAATAAGGATCAGTCTGGTTAGGGGAACTCCAGGGATGAAGATGATGTCTCTTAAGGTAGTAGAATGTCTGCATCAAAGGGAAACTGATCAGGCCACATGCAGTCTCCCAGCCCAACTCTGGATCCAGAGAATCAGAACACCAAGAGGGTGGAGGCTTGGAATCTGCATTCTTTTTTTTCTTTTTTCTTTTGTGGTACTGGAGTTTGAACTTAGGGCCTACCCTTTTTGTGAAGGGTTTTTTTGAGATAGGGTCTCTCAAACTATTTGCCCAGGTTGGCTCTGAACCAAGATCCTCCTGATCTCTGCCTCTTGAGTAGCTGGGATCACAGCCACTGGCTCCTGGCTTGGAATTTGCGTTCTTAAGGGTGGTTTCTAGGTGACTGTTTTGTGTTCTGCAGTTTGAGATTCATGGAAGCTTAACATGGTGGCTGAGAGTGTGGGCTCCAGGGTCATAATGCCCAAGTTCAAAGCCTTAATTTACTACTCATCAACTATGGTCCCTTAGACAGGTTACTTAATATTTCTTTCTGTTTTGGTTTGGCTATGTGTAACATAGGGATGATAACATAGCATGTGGAAAACACTTGGCATGAACCCTAGAAGATGAACATATCCACTAATTGTATCTATTGTAATCTAAAAGCTGAAACCTCTGTCCCTCTTACCTCTAAACTCCCACTGCATTTTCTGGGTACTCCCACTGTAGTCTTTAGTACAGTCTGCCTTATGGCAGGATCACTTATATACACAGCAAGGGAAGAGACTCTCTTTTTTTTCTTTTTAAATATTTAGATATCCCGGGTCTTCACAGGACCTTGTCACATTAGAGTTGGAAGGGACCTTCAAGATCGTCCAATCCAGCCCATTGTTTTATGCATAAGGAGGCTACTGATGAACTGTTTGCCACTAGTCAGAGCCAGGCCTCATAGGGTTTAAGCTCCAGCATTGCCAATTACCAGCTATGCTATTTAAGCTCTGAACTCTTCATCTTAAAACTGCACATAATAATGTATCCTTGCCCACTTACTAAGCAAGTGCCTTGTGAGTAAATATCAGTGAGGAACTCTCTGGCAACCTGAAAGGCATTGTTACTATTATTGCACAGTACTGATTCCTGCTACATGAGTATTCATTGCATCATAGTGGTGCAGGGCAAGTTAGCCAAGGATGCTATAGCGATTATGGTGCCCGTGAGGCCAAAGTCTACCACTTTCATTTTTTATCTTTTTCTTTAGCCTCTCACATTTTCTCTTTTAACTCATGGCATAACTCTGCCTTATCCCAATTAGACCATCTCCTAAGTGATTAGACCCATTATTGTGGCCCTGGTCCTGGTGGATCAAGTGTTGAGTGTTGTCAGAGAACACAGTTCCCACTTTGTTGGGTTCTTTGTTCTTGAAGCTCTAAAATGTAAGACGCTCACCTATGGTTTCCTCCAAGCTCTTCCTTGGGGCTTCTTTTCCTGACAACTAAGCTACCAAGGACTGATTCCCCCATTCCCATCCCCTTGTGGCCTTACCATCATGGTTGGCATTTCCTAGGGTCCATGGCTCATCTGAGTCAAAGTGAGTATCTCCTCCAATCCCTGGGCCAGGGAAGTAAGCGTGGGCTAGGAATCCCCCTTCCCCATCAAATGGAGAGCTGTCACCATGGAAGCCAGAAGCAAAGAAGATCATGATGTCTGCCTCCTTCCGGTCACTTTTGATCTCATGGTATGGCACCTCTTCAAAGGTCAGTGGGGTCACCTTCTGCCACACATCAAAAGCCTGACGAATAGCTTTCCGTGTGTCTAGTTCACCCACCTTTGGGGTATAGTTGTGAATGCTGGCAAGAGAGGGGAGGATCATTAAGGAGGAACAGAAAGCCAGAGAGCTAAAAGAAACTTCAGAGGCAGTATATCCCAATGGTCTTCACATTTTGAGTCCTAGAATTCTGCTGAGCTGCTTCAGTGGTAGAAGAAGGAGCTGGGTAGGCAGAGCTCTGGATTTCCCACCCCTGTTTCAATCAGAACAGCTTTATTTTAATCAGTATTATCATCTCTGATAAAGTTTGTATTGAATAAAGGATTCCACTCCAATATGTAGAAGAAAATAAGTTGATAGATAGCATTTTCTAAATTTTAAGTTTTTCTCCCAATACATAAAAGATGTACATTTTTAAAAAGCAGTACTGGGAGCTGAACTCAGGGTGCTTGCTAGGCAGACACTCTATCACTTGAACCATACCATCAGTTCTTTTTGCTTTTTTGTTTTGGCTGCACTGTGGTTTGAACTCAGGGCCTCACACTTACTAAGCAGGCACTCTACCACTTGAGCCACTCTGCCAGGCATGCTTTGTTTTTTGTTTGTTTTTGGACACAGAGTCTTGCCTGGGCTGGCCTGGACTATGATCTTCCTGTTTGTACTTTCTTGCATAGTTGGGATAACAGGCATGCACCACCACACCCAGCCATTGGTTGAGATGGGTCTTGCAAACGTTTTTGCCCTGGCTGGAATGGTGATCCTTTCAATCTCTGCCTCCTAAGCAGCTAGGATTACATTCTTGAGCCACTGTAACCAACCTAAAATTTGTACATTTATAAAGGTTATCTTTAATTCAGATATGTGGGAGGCAGAGATCCAAAAGATTGTAGTTCAAGGCCAGCCAGGTAAAAAGCTAGTGAGACCACATCTCGACCAATAAACTGGATGTAGTGGTACACGCCTTTGTTCCTAACTACACAGGAGGCCATAGGATTGAGGTCCAGGCCAGCCCTGGACAAAAATGTGAGACCTAGCAAAGCATGGCATTTCAAGCCTATAACCCTAGCATAAAGTGAGACCCTATCTCGAAAATAACCAATGCAGAAAGGGATGGAAGCATAGTTCAAGTGGTAGAGTACCTGCCTGACAAGCACAGGCCCTGAGTTTAAACCTCAGGACCACCAAAAAAATTTTTAAAAAGGTTATAAAAACATTCAAATATCTGGGCTCTGGTGTCTGGTGCCTATAATCCTAGCTACTTAGGAGGCAGAGATCAGGAGGATCATGGTTCAAAGCCAGCCCAGGCAAATAGTTTGCAAGACCCTATCTCAAAAAAACCCAACATGAAAAAGGGCCTGTGGAGTGGCTAAGGTGTAGGCCCTGAGTTCAAACCCCAGCACCGCAAAACAAAACAAAAAACATTCAAATGGTAGAGAGGAATTTAAATTTCCTTTAAAAATTTTTTGGTACCAACCACTGCTTAAGTACCTAGAAGCTGGTATGGAGTATCTGATTCAATCCATTATAGAACTAGCAGTTTAAAGTTCCTATATTCATATTGCATGGTCTCTACAAAGGATCACCACTCACGGTGGTCTGCCTCATGAATGCTTAGAGCGCAGATTATTCTACTCATTCCATAAATAAGAAAACAGAAGCCTAGAGGGGGTAGGTAATAGAAGTTAAGGCCAGAATTGGGTTAAAACCCAGTTCTTTCTCTTGATTCATTCCACCTCTTCAGGAGACCCAAGAGACTGGCTAGTTTCTAACCCAGCTTCTCTTACATTTCTTTTTCTTGTCATATTTCTGAACAAATACTGTTCTGCTCTCTGTAGCTTGTCTGTAGGTGAGCCCTTAGTTTAACCTCAACAATCTCTGTCTTAGGTCATGCCCCTGCACTCAGGGGATCTATCTGAGATTAAATCAGAGTCTTGAGAGGTGCTGACTAGAGCCCACTTGAGCCTGCCTTATTCCTGGCCCTTGGCCCAGCCCCACTTGAATTTTGAAGTCTGAATCTGCAGTGATGGGGCTTCATCATCCCTGCTCTTGGTCCACTGGTCTGACTTGGTTTTACCAGACAGCCAAGGAATGACACTGTTGTGATTCACATCTCCATTCTTTATACTCCTTAAGAACTACTTGGATTTGGTGTTGGATATCTTGGGTGAAGTCCATCTGACTGATTCTGGGTGGGGAAGAGATACAGATCAGAGGTTTGGCAAGCACTGATGGGGAAAATGAAAATAAAAGCACTGCCTTTGTCTTTACCCTCAGCTGAAAGCTACTGAACAACCCATACCCCATGTTCTGTAACTAAAAACAGAAGGCATCTAAACAACACAACTAATGAGCCCACAAAGGACCAGATAAACTGAAAACCTGAAGCTGGAGTCCCTATCCTGTACAAGCTGCAAGGAAGACAAAGTTATAGCTTCTTAGCACCTGGCCCTGATGCCCAGGTGCCTAGCTTTCATCCTGACCCCCAGATACTCCTACCATGTGAGCCCCTGAAACTCAGGCAGCAAAAAAAAAAAAAAAAAAGAAGTGAGCATGGGCCAAAGCCAGAGAAGAGGAGAGAATCAATGCACCTGTAGGTGATGTGTTTCTGCCTCCACTTCTGTCCAGTCAGGGCATAGCGCTTATTTCTCCGCCTTCGGCTCAAGTGTGGGTGATCAGGGACACCACATCGGGGTTTCTTCATCCACCTGGGCAGAGAGGACACACACAAACACACACACGCATATGCATTGTGGCCACTGAACACTCTAGGAAGGCATTGCCTAGTCCCAGTCCCAATCTGAACGGCGGTGTGCCCCTGAGATCCTGGCTATTATGGCCCCCAACAGGAGGCCATAATAGCCACCTGAAAAGTAGGTCCTCCAGCCCCAGTCCAGCCTTCAGGTGACTTGCCTGGCCAATAGTTTGTACCTCAAGAAGCCCTGAGACAGAACTAGCCAGTTGAGTGACTCTCAGATGCTTGCTCCCCAGAAACCGTGAATCCAGCTTGAATAGCTTTTACCCAAAATATTTGGGACCAGAAGTATTTCCTCCATTTTTGAGTTCTTCAGATTTTAAAATATTTGCATAGACTTTAACAGTTGAGCATCCCTAATCTGAAAATCCAATATCTGAAATTATCTAAAATTAGAAACTCAAATTTGGAATAGGGATACTCAACCGGTAAGATTATTATTGTTTGTTGTTTTAAACTGCCATGTTTTGGGGTAATAGATTATGCAGCAATAGAGCACTTATACACTGACTGATTCATTAATTCATTCAGTCACAACCAAAATGTGAAGAAATATTGCTGAATAAGAGACTTGGAGTCAGGAGACACAGCTTGATAATTTCTACCTCTACCACTAATCAATGACCCCATGCAAGTGATTGAGTTAGTGTGACCTCAGTTTCCTCATCTGCAGTAAAACTCTAACTCTTCATCCCAGCCCACAAGGCCCCACATGATCTAGCCCCTTCCTACCTGTCCAACAGCTTGTTACCTTTCTCTTTCAATACTATGCCCAGCCACAGTGAGCCTCTTGCTCTTCCTGAACTGCTAAGCCTGTTTCCTCTCCATGGTCTTTGCATCTGCTGTTTTCTTTACCTGAAACACTCTTTCTCTTCATGTGGTTTGTTCCTTTAAGTCTCTCCTCTTCAGAGAGAAGTTCCCTATTGGAAATGGATCCCCCCCCCATCAACCCACCACTGCTTATTTTGCTTAATTTTTCTTCATAGTATTTACCATTCCCTAATATTATATATCTGCTTTCTTGTTTGTATTCTTCATCTCTCTCGCCAGATTCTGAGCTCCAAGAGCACAGGAGCATGCCTATATCCTCGGGGCTGGCACAGTACCTGACACAGAGGGGTTCAGTAGTGATTTGTTGACTGAATAAATGAATGAATGAATCAGAGCTCTCTAACAGTAGGATGGCATAGCATGCAAGAAAGCAAATTCCCTTTCACTACAGATGTTCAAGAAGTAGCTAAATAGCCAGGCATGGTGGTGCATGCCTATAATCCCAGTGCTGGAGAGACTGAGGAGTGTAGCAAGTTAGATCACACATTAGACAGTAAGACCTTGTCTCAAACAAACAAACAAACAGGCCAGACATGGTGGTACACCCTAGTTACTGGGGAGGCATAGGTAGGAGGATCAATGTCTGAGGCCAGCCCTGGGCAAAAAGCACAAGACCCTATCTGAAAAACAACTAAAGCAAAAAAGGGCTGGGAGCATGGCTCAAGTGGTACAGTGCAAGTAGAAAGCCATGAGTCCAAATTCCTATACCACCAACAAAACAAATAAAAAACCAGGTGTGTTGTACACAACTGCAGTCCCAGCTACTTGGGAGGCAGAGAATGGGAGGATCTTAGTTTGAGGCCAGCCCATGCAAAAAGTTCTCAACCAACAATCTATTCATGGTGGCATGTGTCTGTCATCCTAGCTGTGCAGGAGGCATAGGTATTGGATCACAGTCCAAGATGGCTTGGGAAAAAAATGCAAGACACTATTAAAAAAATAATTAAAAATCAAAAAGGGCTGGGGGTGTGGTTCAAGTATTAGAGCCCTGCCTAGCAACCACAAAGCCCTGAGTTCAAATCCCAGTACCTCCAAACAAAAAAACAAACAAAAATCACTAAACACAACAAAGAAGAACAAAAAATTCAAAACAAAAAAATTACTAAACAACCATAGGACTTGGAATATAATTATCTGTAGCACTAACTACATTGTATTGTGATTTTTAAATATTTCTTGAGGACAGGAAACATGACTATACATCATCGTGTCCCCAGAAGCTGTCTGTCTTAGAACTCAGTAAATCCTGCTAACCGTAGGTTGCCAGGTAAAGTCACATCAGGGAATGTTGTTAGCCTGGGATATCATTGGGGATTTAAGAAGAAGGTGCCAGGGGAGAAGAGTAAAAAAGTCATAGCAGCTTGAACCTAGGCCATTCTGCATTTTACGTTCCTGTGCTGGCCTAATGACCAGCCCACTAAACTAAAGCTGGCATCACTAAAGAGAAACAGTGTGACCTCATTCACAGCTGTTAAAAGCCGTTGCCATTGGCAATAACTCCAGATAGAGGCTATTTTAATAAAGCCCTTGGCGGGAATTAGCCAGGTCTTACTAATTTTTGTGTGCTCTACATGGCCCAGAAAGTGACCCATACTCAACAAACCAGTCATAAAAGACAACAGCAGCAGCATCATGCCTTAGTCTAAACACTTGTAGTTTTTAGTGTTCATATTCTTTTAGAATTTTTGGCTCTTAAAACAACTATGAAGTAGCCAGAAATTATTATCCCCATTTTACAGAGTAAGAAAAAGATACCCAGATAAATTGAGCAACTTGCAAAACATAGAAAGCAGTGAGGCAGGACTGGAAATTGGCTGAATGAATAAGTGAACTGTTAATTATTGCAATTAGCAAAGACTGGGGCTTTTGTTTTTTTTTGTTTTTTTTCCCTCTCAGTGTTCAGCACAAGGTTGAGCTGAGGAACTATACTGTTGACTGAATGAATAAGTGAATGAATAAATGTAAGACATTTCCCAAGGCAGACACTCAAAAATAGTACTTGAAATTGAGAATTGGGCTTCCTTTCAGTTACAGTCCTTGGGAAGAGAACCATGAGCCACCTTTGCTACTGCAAGGCTGAGTTAGACCTGCAAGGACCCCTTCCATAGGAATGGGCCCAGAGAAAGGCTGCAGTTGTCCAAGGTCACAGAGCTGGAACTGAAACTCTTATCTCTGAATTCTATTCTAAATACCCATCCTACTCAGGTCTAGGATTGTGTGAGCAGTCTCCTCCTTCCCTTGCTTCCAGAATACTCTTCCCCTGCCTTCCTAAAGATGTGTGGGCAAAACTGCAAGTAGGCAATGCCATACTCTTTTCTCACATCCTTTCCTCGCCTTCTCCTTTCCCTGTCCACCTGCTACTTTTTGAACCTTGTCCAACAGGCCCGGGGCTTTCTGGAACAGAGTAAAATCCAAGGCCAGGTGGTGCCTCAGCAGAGACACCAGTGCTCCTGGCCCAGTACGCACTGCCATGAGGCCTGTGCAAAGTCTCAAAATAACCTCCACCTGGAAAGGCGGTGGGGCTCTCTAAGCAACTCTCTCATGAGGCCCCAGGGCCAAGGGAATTTCACAATCTCACAATCAGAGAATAGAATAGAAAATGTTGGGACAGACTTTTAGAACTTCAGGATCATAAAATCCCAGACTTACTAAGTTTTAAAAGCTTAGAAGCTTAGAATAATGGAATGTAGAATTTGAGAGCCATAATCCAACACTCCCTTTTACAAACGAACATAGTAAGACCCAGAGAAATGATTCTGTCACAGAGTAACTTACTCAAGGAAGGATGATCCTCAATTCACAATTGAGTGTATTTCTTATTCTATTCTCTGCCAGCTCCCCTGTGTCCTCACCCAGCCCTACCATCTGCTCTCACCCAAGCGTGGGCTCCTATCTCTGACCACCTCCTTTGGAACCTCACTCCAACTCTTTTCCATGCCTTAGTGATATGATCAGCTCTTCTTAAACAGCTTGAATAGCTTTCACAGCAGTTTGTTAAACAAACAAACTTTATCCCTCTCTGCTACCGCCCATTTCCCCTTCCCTTCGCTCTCAGGCTTCTCTAAAGATTTCCCTCCACTTGCCATCTCCACTCCTCCCCGCCTCTCCCCTCGCTGCCCCCTGACTTTGTTTCCACCATTTCACTGAGGTTATCAGCAACCTCTTGGTTACTGAATCCAAGCAGATGCCTTCCAGTCACTGTCCTGTTTGACCACTCATTAGCAGTTGACCCTACACCCCATGCACTGCTGTGACATCATTCCCGCAGGGCTTCCTCCACTTAACTGGCTATTGCTTCTAAGCTGGCTTTGTGGAGTTCCATCCCCAACCCTCTCCTGCTCCTCTTAATTCTCTCCCTGAGTGACCCCAACCATTCTCATGGTGGGACTTATTTACTACCTCCTGAGTATCTCCCTGGGACTCTGTCTCTTGAGCTCTAGGCCGGTATTGCCAGATGACTCTTTCAGTACACAGTGAGCCTCTGGAGGGTGGGACACCAGGGCCAGGCACATGCAGGCACTCAGCAAGTATTTGATAAGTGGGAAAAGTGGAACAAGAGTTGTCAATCCATTGTCACTTAAGAGTTTTCTGTATCAAGTAAGATGTTTATTGTTCAGGGAACTCTAGACCGTGACTCATAGAACCATAAGTTATTGGTTATTCTATAACCCAACACCACACTGTACTGGCAAGGAAAATGAGGCCTGTAAGGAATGATGGACTTGTCTCCAAAGTCACGCAGCAAATTAATGGTAGAGCTGGGACTCCCATCTCAGTACATTTTGGGGTGTTCCCTTCCAGGGTGGAACTGCAGGAGTAAAAGATCGGAAGGTAGGATGGGCATGGTGTGTACAAAGGCCATGACAAATGTGAACCCAAACGTAAGTTCAGAAAGTTCAAAGGCACAATGTCCTATGCAAATCTTACTCGATCGTTGTCTGATCCAACACACCGGTGACTGGGATCCCGTAAAACTGCTGCATAGTGGAGACTGCTGACTGTAAGGCCTTCCCTGAGTGCAACGCAGATGCCCGTGAGTCATAGGGAAGCAGATAGCCATATGACTTTAACCAGTTCTGAAAGACATGTGAAAGAAAAGGATGCATTATGCTGAAGAAGTCTCCATTCTACCTGGGCAGAGATTTGCCGTTAAAACTAGGGATCATTTTACCCAGATGACTTATGGACTCACGCTCTTATTTCTTCCTCCTTCATTCCATTTTCTAGACATTGACAAATTAATCTTCAGGAACCTAGCTCTGCTTGGCTTACTCTCTTGCTGTCAACCCTTCATTGGATTTCTGCTGACTATAGATAAAGATAAATTTGCATTTAGAGCTTTCCCTTGCCCTGCTTCTTTATTCATTGATACAGTGCTTTCCACTGTCAAAAACCTAACATGCAAGAACACAGAACAGTTACTTGGGCTAAAGTAGAGCACTCTGAGGAAATGTGCTACATTCCATATTCAGACCCATCATGTCTGAAGTCAGAATCTGACCAAGTATCACATTGTAGGACATCTGGCAGTCTTTATTGCTAAACCAGCTCCTCCCAGCAAAAGCAAGCCACTATAAATAAATATAAATGAACAAAGTAATATATTCTCTAATTTAAATATAAATAAATAATAGATGTATAGAAAAATCTATTACATAAAAGAATTCTTTGGCTTTAGGAAAAACACACTGAAGTATTTAGGCTTACATAAGAGTGTGTGATGTCTGCAACTTGTTCTTACATGGTTCAGAAATAGAAGCATAGGATATTTACAGACAGAAAAGAGAGATAGCTAGATAAAGCACCTGTAGTAAATGCTGGCCACCAGGGAATCCATGTGATGGAGTTAGGAATTCTTTATCCTATTCCTGAAAAGTTTGATGAAAGTTGAAATGATGGTGACAATTTTTTCCTGGCAGTACTGGGGTTTGAACTCAGGTCTCTTACTTGATAGGCAAGTGCTCTACCACTTGAGCCACATCTTCATCCCCTTCAGGAGCACTCTTAATGCTGGGCTTGAGGCCAGAAAACCCTATTATCTACCCATCCTCAGAAGGTCATCTTAAACATCACTGAAGGAAAAGGCACCTTGGAAAACGGCATTGTTCTCTTCCAATCTAGACTTTTATTTCTTGTTTCTAAATGAACACTCTTATTGTGGACATGTCTTTTATTATAAGTCAAATCAAACCATTTTTTGGAAGGAAGCAGACCAGAAACTATAAGTAAGTTATCTTTATTTCACCAAAGATGACTATAACATCTTTACTGCCTTGTGATAAATTCATCTGATTCATTAAAAACAAAATTATCAAAATAAACTTAAAACAGTAGCACAGAGTAACAAGCTTACTCTCTCACATTTGGTGTCTAAAACGTAAACGTGTTTTTGAATGATGACACAGAATATCAATATTTGCAGTTCCCCAAACATTGATTCTCTTTTATGCCTTTGTACATGTTTTTTTCTCTGCTTAGTGTTTGTAGTTTGGCAAAAATCTTCATATTTTAATGCTCAGCCCATAATTACAACCTGTGGAAGACATCTCAGGCTAGTTGTTTTCTCTCTCCTCTGTGCACTCCAAGTCCCCATTATCAATACTATGGATCTTACAGTATTGGGCTCCAATCATTACATATCAGTCTCCTCCAGATTCAGCTCCTCAAAGGAAAAGTCCATGCCACCTTTATATATCCAAAACCAAGGACAATGCTGGATATACAACAGCTGTACATTATGTCCATTCAATAAAAATTATTGACCATTTCTACATGTTAGGCACTGTGTAAGGTTCTTGAGGTACAATGATGAATAAGGAACTCACAGACCAACAAGTGAACCCATGATGAAAGTATAGTGCTACAAAGCAGGTGTGTACAGAGTCCTATCAGAGAAAAGAGACTGGTGTCTTTTCCAGAGTGGGTACAGGGACAAGGAAAAAGGGGAACTCCATGCAGAGACTTCCAGGTGGAGAAGGGATTTGAATTCAATCCTATCCAGACACAGCATGTGCAGTTGTTTAGAGGTGTGGGAGAACACGGCACATTCTGAGCAATATTTAAAATAGCGAGAGCTTGGCGGGGGTGGGGGCTGCTGGCAATGAGTGGAGAGGTTGAAAAGGAGGGAAGTAGAGAGATGACAGAGTTACCCATTCACGAAGTTGACACATTATAGAGACTCACTTATGATGTGACTATGGCCAGGAACACAAAAAAAAATCTCAAGTAAAAGGTGGACAAATGGGAATTGCAGAGAAACTGACAAATCACCCACCCATTCCCCTGGGTGCTCCAACTTGTATTCCTGGGTTAAGTCATATCATTAAAGCATGAAGTCCTGGCACCATATTCTCTCTGCTCCTCACAGCCAGACTATTACCTCATGTTCCCTTTCTTACGGAAACTTTAAGAACTTGGGAATGAGTGGACAGTGTGGTACAGTGGAAAAAGACACAGTCCTGGGACAGAATCCTGACTGCACCCCCATCAGGGCAAATTGAGCTTCAGTGTCCCTATTTGGAAAATGTAAATAGTAATTCCTCCTCCAGAGAGTTAAGATGAAATGAATGAATGCACCTGCTATCTAGTAATCACTCAAACATATTTGTTATCCCTTCAGATGGTATTTCTGGTATCTTTGTGAATTCAGGAAGAAAACATGTTTTTGATCCCTCTCTAACCTCTGAAGTCTAGTCATTCTGCCCTCTCACATTCTCTCTTGACCAAAAACTGACTTTACTGGGCCAGATGAGGCAAGTTCATCTCTCGTGGTCAATACTATTTTCTACTGGATAGTTTATGAACATGACCATCGCTCATGGAAGACTGGGAGCATTACAGAGGATCTGGTGCTCAGTGGATAACATGACAACTAAATTGGAATACATACTCTTCACCTTGTCACTAAACTTTCCTTGGAAATGTCTTCCCAAAAAAAGACTCTGTAAGCTTTGAGGGGTAACAAAAAGAACACTGGGTAACCAATGGTTTCTCCTTTGGCCTTTCTGCCAGGAATCTCAGCCAAATTTATAGCTTGAATGTTGAACATAGCGATGCTTCGAATGATTACTTTTTTCATCCTTCGGACCGTCCTCCTTAAAAGCCTCACTTAAAAACATATTTTAATGTGTAAGCTGCCTCAAACCATTGCAAAAGAAGTGTGATGTCAATCTAAAGTATATCCAGTTCTTCTGTGTTAATGGACTCTATTAGTTCTCTAAGTCTAACTAGTTGAATCAGAGGATTTGGGAAATGGTTAGAGGTTTTTGGACAGATAGTGCCTGAGGTCAGTCAACTGAGGATTTTTTTTTTTTGAGCATCCACCTGTAAGCTATCATGGAAGGTAAAAATGATCCCCCCTCCTGTCTTCATTGCTGCCTATAGTAAGGAAATAGGGAACCTTCAGCATAAACCCACTTCAACCTTATAGGCCTTTTGGGGAATTAAAATTAGCTCCTCCTCAGTAAAGGGCTGGCAACCTGGTTGGTTTACCTACCTCCTCTTCTAGAATATTGGAGTAAGGAACACTTCAGAGACAATCAGGATCCCTTATGAAGGGCAGTCAAGGCTAGGCAAATGTCTGGGTCAGGGCCAAGCACTGGAATGTCTCAGATACAGTATGGACCTGGGGACAGTATTAGTGCCTTCTCTGGGCTATGCTCCCCTTCCGGGGTTACAATCCTTACTGCTCAGGGCAGACCCCTATGAAGAGAAATAGGATGGCAGGTGCTGGTCAAATCACAGCCTGTAGCTGGCGGAGTGGCTCAAGCAGTAAGAGTACCACCTAGCAAGCATGAGGCCCTGAGTTCAAACCCCAGCACCGCAAAAAAAACAAAAAAGAAATAAATCACAGCCTGTAAGCCTGGAATACAGCATTGAGATTGTACTCAGAATGTGTGTGTATTAGCGGGTAAGAAGCTAAGGAATATGCATCAGGGATGAGACAACTCTTGCTTCCTCTGTTTACCCTCATCTCTGTCACTCACTGTGATCCAGGTAATCCTTTGACTTCTCTGAGCAGAGCCCTTGGGGTTAGAGCAAGTGTATATACCCCAGTCATACCAATTCCCAAACATTCCCTGCCCTTTCACATTTCCAGGGTCTTTCTGCTGCCTACAAAGCCCATTCTCTTTATGCATATTAGCAAACTCCTACTCATTCTTCAGGGATTAACTGTCACCTTCTTTGTTAAACCTTCCTCATGTTTCCTCCTTAAAAGCCTTCTTAAAAACATATTTTAGTTCTGGTGAAGTGGCTCAAGTGATACAGTGCCTGCCTAGCAAGTGCAAGACCCTAGGTTCAACTCCCAGTACTACCAAAAAAACAAAACAAAAACCCACAAAAATATTTTAATATGTAAAATGCCTCAAACCATTGCAAAAAAGGTATGGTGCTAATCTAAAATGTATTCAATTCCTCCCTGTTAACCAACTCTATTAGTTCTCTAACAGTGTGCCTAAGTTAAATTAGAGCTAGTGGGTTGCCTTCTCTTCTCCTTCACACTTGGTACACACTGCCCTAAATGTAGTTATTGTAATGTATCAAGCCTGTTCATTGATGTTTTCTCCCACTAGGTTGAGTTCCTGGGGAACAGACACTGTGTCAAAATCTTTTTCATATTTGCTACAGCATTTAGCACAGTGTCTGGCACAATAAATAGTCACCAAGTTCATGAATGAATGAATGAACAAACAGTTGGTCTGCATACCAAGGAAAGGATTTCATCTTGAGAAGGGTTAGTGAGTAATAGACATGAAAGCACCAATCATGATTCCTGCTGTGTTTGAAAAAAATTGCTGAAATTCAATCTATTGTGGTTTGACTTCCTTCCTTGATGAAGCAATAGGTTCAATTGTCCCATTGGAAAAAAAGATGAAAGTCCACTAAAAGAAGAAGGTCTCATTCGGTTTTAAACAGAATGACCTACCTTTCATCATTTTACACCTGGATGCATTAATCAATCACCAGCCGGTCAGAAGCCTAACCTTTACAGCTCAGTTAACAACTCTGAGATGTCTGTCACCCTCCAAGTGCTGAAAGAGGTGTAAACCCAGTGGAAAGTGAGAAGAATCTCAGA